CCACAGTAATAGTGGCACAGTTTCCCACCTCTTCGGGTCCTTAATGGACAAACCTACATACAGGTAGGTTGGGTTGCCCAATCGAAAGCTCAAACCCACCGCGGGCCTGTAGCATGGCCCTAGATGGGGCGGGGTCCGAAACGGGTCTCGCGGCAGCAGCCAAACATTCGGACGAGAACCCTGAAGGCCGACGCAGAGGAGGATCCCGCGGCCTTACTTAACTGCCGGGGACGAACGGCGCTCCTGCAAACAAAGGATACCCCGCTACTTAGGCTCTCTCATGGCTCGTGGGCTAACTCCCCCCCCCGCCGGCTCGCATGCACGCCAGACCCCTTCAGCCCGGCCTTTCGGGACAGGCAAGCTAGGGGAATTTTGTCAGCAACCCGAATACGCAGGAATCCAAACGGCTCGCCAAAAGGTGCGTACTCGAAATTTTTGGCCGTCGTGGCGGTCACTAATCCCGTCGTCACGTCCTAGTCAAACGCCGGATCGTGAAAAATAGTACTTAAAAATAATAAAATAAGGCAGCCGGCATCCACGCCAACTCTACAATCATCAACGAGGGAAAGCCATCACACCCCGTCCTACGACACCCCGCTCACCGCACGAAGTCCCGCCTCGTCGTGGTCGCTCTCCGCACGCGCGCTCGACTCGGTCAAACGTAGCCAGCGAAAGAAAATATCCCCTAGATCCTAATTTAATCAAGAGTAACCAAAAATAAAAGTTAAGGATAAAAATAAGAATAAACAGACCGGCGCCCGCGCCGGTTTCATAATCAACATCAAGGAATGAACCACGCTCGCCTTAAACCTGCGCGCCCACGCACCCTTTACTCTAGTCAACCATCCAGTCAACGTAAATCACAGACGCAGCCGCGCCTAGCGCGGTATACTTAAACTTCAAACCAAAACTATTTTTCTGTCACTCGCAAAAACCAGGGCGGATACCCTTGTAAGGGTATTCGCACCAACACCGTTTCCCCCATCCAAGCTGGCTCTGGTTCCTGTCTCATGGTACGGGTGTGAGTGATCACCTGTGTCTCAATTTGGTTTTATCTCTGAATCCCAGTCTCATCTCTTGATAAGAAGAAGGGGATGGAGTGCTAGGTGTAAAGGCATATCTGGCGCCCGAGTAGGGTGAAGAGGCAAAATTATCCCCAGCATCCTATGATCTTTTCTGGTATCTGTTCACTATTGAGGATGTAAAAGGACGCTGGACCCGATTTCCAGCAGGTGCAATTTTGTTGATGTAAAGGGACGCTGGACCCGGTTTCCAGCAGGTGCAGCTCCCCACCAATGGAACGGAGCCATCTAATAGCGAGGGTGGTAGAATGGGTATCTGCTCATACCAGTACCCCTTCTACACCAGCAGCTGATGTTCAAATTAAAAAAAAAA